CTTGCCCTCCTGGGGGGATGAGGGCGCGCAAGTGGACTGGCGAGTGAGCCAGGCGCTCCCCAAAAGGGGTCATCTGAGACCCTCCTGGCGAAACCGAACAGAAAGCCTGGTGCGCAGGGCACCGTATGCTTCGTCACCGAGGTGAAGGCAGAGCGTCGCCGAAGGACGAATCCTCCTGACCACACGAGGATGAAGGGAGAAGGAGCAGGAGGAGGAGGAGGAGGAGGAGGAGGAAGAGGGGGAGGAGGAGGAGGAGGAGGAGGAGGAGGAGGAGGAGGAGGAGGAGGAGGAGGACGGAAGAGGAGGCGTTGGAGGAGGAGGAGGAGGAGGAGGAAAGGAGGGGAGGAGGAAGCAGGTTGAGGAAGAGGAGGAAGAGGAGGGAGAGGAGGAAGGAGGAAGGAGGAGGAGAAGGAGGAGGAGGAGGAGGAATGGAAGGGTGAGGAGGAGGGGCGTGGTGAGGAGGAGGAGGAGGAGAAGGGAGAGGAGAAGGAGGAGGAGGAAGAGGAGAATAAGGAGGCAGACAGACCCCCGCGTAAAGGAGTCTATGTCGTTTCGTAAAGACAACAGCGGGGAGTTGTGGAGGCGTGCGGGAAAAGAAAAAAAATTTGTTGCTGGTTATTGGGTTTCGGGCTTGCTGGGGGGGACTTTCACCGGGCCCTCTCCCACCCTCGGCCTCGGGACCCAAGGAACTGGGCCTGTGTGGCGGTCCCAGTCCGGCCGGCATGCAGCCGTCCGTCGCCGCCCGTCGCCGCCGCCCGTCGGGACCTGTGTGTCAGTCCAGCTGGCATGGAGCCGCCCCTCACCGCCCGTCGCCGCCGCCCGTCACCGCCGCATGTTGGTTACGATGTTGTTTGTGTGAGCATCGTAGATTGCACCACATAGGGTGCACCACATAGATTCTACCACATAGCTTACACCACATGGACTGCGCCACACAGATTCTCCGTTAAATAAGAATAGACTCTAACCCCCCCCCCCGAACCGAAAATTAAACGAATCCACCTTTTTTCGTATTGCAATGACATGTTTGTCTTTTTCTAGCTGACTATCTGAGTTCCCTGGCCCATTGTCAATCCGAAGTATGAATTCATACTGTCCCAGCCAAACCGGTATCACTCCCCCCCGCCATCCTCTGCAACAAAATACTATGCGCGCACTCTCGTTTATCAAAAATCATAAATGTTCAAGAACCCCTTGCAAAAAATAGGCACACGCGCGCGTCGTCGCGCGCGCATGCAGACATCCTCCAAAAGCCTTCGGTTTCGGAAGGATTTCAAAATCGAGTTCCAAAAAAACATGCAAAAACAAAAGGTTTCGCAACACTGATGTTCTAACAGGTATTACTCGCGCGCTCTTGCGAAATCTCAAGAGAACCAAAAGGTTTTTCAAGGTTTTCTAAAAATGCTACCAAACCAAACGGGCTTCGCGCGCGCGCATGTCGAAATCTTTCGAACGCCCTTGCGCGCGTGCCGTCGCGAGAATCCTCTGCAAAAAGCGGGACGAAGTGCAGACGCGCGCGTGGTCGCGCGCGCATGCCGAAATCATTCAAAAACCTTCGGTTTCGGAAGGATTTCAAAATCGTGTCAACAAAAACATTCACAAAAACGCAAGGTTTTGCAACACGGATTTTCAACAAAAGCGGGCGCGCGCGCACTTGCGTCGTCATCGTCGTCGTCGCCGTCTTCCCTCCTCCCTCGTCGTCGTCGTTGGCGTCGCCGTCGTCGTCCTCTGTCTTTCCTCGTCGTCGTCGTCTTGGCGTCGTCGTCGTTTCCGTCGTCGTTGTCGCCGTGGTCGTCCTTCCTCTTCCCTCGACGTCGTCGTCCGTCGTCGGCGTCTCGTCGTCGTCCCTCCTATTTCGTCGCCGTCGTCGTCGTCGTCTTCCCTCCTCCCTCGTCGTTGTCGTCGTCGGTGTCGCCGTCCTCCCTCCTTCTTCGTCGTTCGCGTCGTCGCCGTCCTCCCTCCTCCCTAGTCGTTGTCGTCGTTGCCGTCGTCGTCGTCCTCCCTCCTCCCTCGTCGTCGTCGTCTTCGTCTTCGTCGTCGTCGTCGGCGTCGTCGTCGTCGGCGTCGTCGTCGTCGGCGTCGGCGTTGTCATCGTCGTCGTCGTCGGCGTCGTCGTCGTCGGCGTCGGTGTCGTCGTCGTTGTCGTCGTCGTCGAAGTCGTTGGAGACGTCGTCGGTGTCGTCGTAGTCGGTGTCGGCGGCGTCGTCGTCGTCGTTGTCGCCGTCGTCGTCGGCGTCGGTGTCGTTGCCCAGTGCCATTTGGTACCCACCGTCACGGTCTTAATAGGTCTTGCGACCAAGTTGCAGGTGGAAGGGTGGGATGTTTGCACGAGCAGTGGAGATGACAGCTTCAAGACAGTCAAAGTGAATTGCACCACATAGCTTACACCACATAGATGGCACCACATCGGTTGTACCACATAGATTGCGCCACACAGTGTCTTAGAACACACTGCTTGGCGTCCACGCACGCTAACACTTGCTAATATCGGGCTCTGAGGGCCCTCGCCAGGCCCGGGACCATCAAACAACAACCCGAGATGAGAACCTGGTCCCCGGGAAGGGGCCCAGACCTCCAGGGAGCCACACTGCGAGAGGGAATAACAAACAGTAACGGGTGTGGTGCGTCACTCTGTGAAGGAGGAGGAAGAGGAGGAGGAGCGCACGTGCCTCGGCACACAGTTCTAGCTTCCGGCGCCTACGCCGCCGCCCCTTGGAGGGGAAGGCGCAGGCTTCGCTCAGAAGTCTTGAGGTGCTCGTGGAAGAGGAGGAGGAGGAGGAGGAGGAGGAGGAGGAGGAGGAGGAGGATAAGGACAAGGAGGAGGAGGAGGTCGCGTGTGCTGAGAGCTTCGGCTCGCGAGTCCAGAGCAATGCCTGGCCTGTACACTCGCGAGCGCGGCCCGGGTGGGGGGCCGGTCCGCGCGCGGCTCCGCAACCGCGGCGGATGCGCACGACCCCGAGACGCCTTCAGCTGCCCTGCCTCGTCGTTCTTCTCCGTCCTGCACCCACCCTTCCGCCCTGCGCGTTCGCCTCCTACGCCTCCTCCTCCTCCTCCTCCTCCTCCTCCTCCTCCTCCTCCTCCTCCTCCTCCTCCTCCTGCGGCTTCGGTTGCCCCCATGGGCCCCTCCTGTTCAAGCCAGAGGTGTCCCCCAGCGAAGCCGCTGGCAAGCGTACATAAATCGCACCACAGGGCCATTCGATCCATGGATTCTTGTCCACTTGAGGTGATGCAGTTTTCACCCGGGGTGTGAGAGACTGAACTATGGCTGGTATGTGATCTTCCTGTCTGCTTGTCTGCCTGCCTGCCTGTCATGCTCCTCATCCTCCTCCTCTTTCTCCTCCTCCTCCTCCTCCTCCTCCCTTCACTCCGCCTCCTCCTTCTCCTCATCATCCTCATCATCAGCAGCATCATAATGCTTATCGGAACCATCATCACCACCCTTCTCATCACCATACTCGACATCATTAAAGCAGCAGCAGCACCACCACCATCATCATCAAAACATCGGCATCATCAATGGCAGCATCATTGTCATCATCCCCGCCTTCCTTCTCGTCCATCCTCGCGTTCCTCCTCCGCCTTCCCATCATCCTCTCCGCCCTCCCAAAATCTGCTCCTCCTCTCATCATCAACATCATCATCAGCACAATCATCATCACCACCACCACAACCACCACCACAACCATCATCGTCAACATCATCACAGTCATCATCACCATCATCATCATCATCATCAGCATCAGCATCAGCATCAGCATCAGCATCCTCATCATCATCATCATCACCATCATCATCATCATCATCAAGATCATCATCGTCATCATCATCAACAGCATCATCAGCATCATCATCATCGTCATCGTCATCGACATCAGCATCATCATCAGCAGCAGCAGCGCCATCATCATCATCATCATCATCATCATCATCACCATAATCGTCGTCACCGTTATCATCATCGTCATCATAATCGTCGTCATCTGCAGCAGCGTCATCATCATCATCAGCACAATCATAATCGCCATCGTCATCGTCATCGTCATCCTACTCCTCATCATCATCAGCATCACAATCATCATTAGCAGCATCATCATCACCAGCACCATTATCATCACCATCATCACCACCATCACCATCACCACCATCACCATCGTCGGCAGCATCATCATAATCGTACTTATAAGCAGCATCACTATCACCATAAGTATTGGCATTATGCTCATCAACATCATCAGCATCAGCATCAACATCATGCTCATCATCATCATCATCAGCAGCAGCAGTAGCATCATCATCATCATCATGATCGTCGTCGTCGTCGCCATCATCATCATCGCCATCATCAGCATCATCACCACCATAATTCTAGCACCAGCAGCAGCATCCTCAACAGCCTCACCTTCGTCCTCATCCTCATCCTCATCCTCATCATCATCCTCATCCTCCTCATCATCATCAGCATCATCATTATCAGCATCATCATCATCTTCATGCTCATCATCATCTTCATGCTCATCATCATCATCATCATCATCATCATCATCATCATCAACATCATCAACATCATCATCATTTTCATCATCATCATCAACATCATCATCATCATCATCATCATCATCATCATCATCATCATCATCATCATCATCATGTTAGTGTTCCTCCTCCTCCTCCTCTTCCTTATCCTTCTCCTCCTCATCATCACCTCCACCACCACCATCACCACCACCACCATCATGATCATGATCATGATCATGATCATCATCATCATCATCATCATCATCATCATCATCATCATCATCATCATCATCATCATCATCATCATCGCCACCACCATCACCATCACCGTCACCGTCATCTTCAACGTCACCGTCACCGTGGTGGTCGTCGTCGTCATCGCTACTCCCCACGCTCCGCATCCTCGTCGCTCTCGCGTTCTCCCCTGCTCCTCACCCCTCCTCACCCGCACCGGCCGCTCAGTTGCTCCCTCATCCCACCCCCGCCTACCCGCGCGACCGAGCTTTCAGGCACGCAGTGCAGTGAGCCGCGGACCCGGTATTCCTCGAGGGGGGGGACAAACAAAAGCACCGATATACCGCTGCCCCACCGGGCCGCTCCTGGGGTGCGCTCTGACCAGAATCTCCTGAATAATGCGGCCGTGGCGACGAGGGCTCTCCAGGACGAGCAGCGGCATGGGCACCCCTGACATCAGTGGATTATTCAATGCGCGGTCCCCAGAAGTCCCGACCCTTTCCCTGGGGCCGATTGTTCATCCCGAGTCGTTTTGTTGTTGGTCCCGGGGCCCGGCAGGGCCCCCAGGGGCCAAAAAAAAATATAAAAAAGATCCGCCCGAACTTTTCCCAACCATCCTGTGGTGTTGGGTCCTCGTTTTAAAAAGAAAGTGTCAGGCGTCCTCCTTCCTTCCTCCTCCCCCTCCTCCCTGCCTCTGGCCTTCGCATATACATGTCGGTTCACCCCATCGCAGGCTTCATGGCCCCATAAAGAACTCCACCGAAGCCCCCAGAGGCACCGCACAGCGTCATATCCCTCACACGACTCGTGGCCCCTCATGGAGCTCCTCCGAAGCCAGCCCGCTTCAGCACACCCCTCACACGCTTCGCAGCCCCACAGGGAGCTCCACCGAACGCCCCAGGGAGTGATACCGCATAGCGTCCCCCAGCCCAGTTCGGCACGCACATGCATCTGGTTGGGCCCTTCACCAGGATACGGTCGGGGACTTTGGGATCTCGTGTCGCCACGGCGGCCCCAACAACACGCTATGCTTAGGTCGTGCATGTCCTCCGACAGGCGGATTTTGGAGGAAGAAATGAAAAATAGCCCCAAAATATCCAAACATTGCCAAACAAATAAAAATCGTCCCCTGACTATTGAAGGGGCCATGGGACACACACACACACATAAATGCACACAAATAACAGGATTCACCATATTTTCCCATATTTACGGGGGTTGTGTCTTCCCCCCCACTTCCCATGTTTTCCCATATGTTCCTGGGGTGTCGACGATTGATTGTGTCTGTGCTTCTTTCCCTCCTGAACTATGTTTTGACGATTTTTGAATATTCCTCCTGTAGAGGGACGCGCCCGACTTAACGCTAGGCCCTGCGGGCGCATAGCGTGGCGCTCGACCCCGCGGGGCGGGAGGCGGGGCGCAACGGTAAGGAGGGACTGGCGTAGGGGGGGAAACATCGGCCTGGAATCGGCGATACATCGCCGATAGATCGGCGATAGGCCCCCGATAGTGAATCCGCACGTTCCTGGGCAGGTTGGGGCCGTCGGGCCCCTATCGGCGATCAATGGGCGATTGGGGGCCGATGCATCCCCCCCTATGCCTATCCCCCCCTATCGCCGCCCCTGAGGGAGGCGGGGCAGGCTGGGGACATGGGCGCTGGGGGGCCTGGGAAGTGGACAGTGTGCCGCACCGAGGCGCGGTGGGCCAGAACCCCAGGCCCCCTCGGGTCATGAAAAAATCGCGGCGGAAGGTTTTTCGCTATTCTCGGCCTCTGGGGGCCCTCACCGGGCCTCGGGACCGTCAAAAATCGGCCTGGGACCGAAACCGACGGACCTGGACCCGCAAAAATGACGACCGCGACGCCCTCTCGCGAACCGAAAACGGCCAATTCCTTAATCGACGTGTCAGGGTAGGAGGTCTTTCCACCTCCGAGAAAAACGACTCAGGATGAAAAACCGGTCCCGGGGAATGGGTCCGGACCTCTGGAGCTCGCGTCATGAAAAAATCATTGACGTCGGAGGTCTGGGACCAGCGGCGCGACACGCTATCCCAGAGTTACCGACCGAAAAACTGCTTCCATACGTTGGAGGCCTTGGGGTATCGGTACCCTTTCCTCTGGATTGGTTGACCAAAAGGGGGTCCAGCTGAAACGGGGTGGTGCAATAGATGTGGGGCAATTGTATTGCAAGTGTATTGCGCCGGAGAGTTGTACTACATCGTATTGCAACGCAATGTTTTGCACGCGACAATCCAGCAACACACTTGCGCCCTGGAAGGTATTGCACGCCCCAAGTCCATTGCAACCCACAAATCTGTTGCACCAAATCTACTGCACCCCTCCCTTGTAGCTGGACCCCTTCTTCCCACACCCCCGACGTCATGATTTTGTTTCATGGCGCGACCCCCACAAATCATGACCCATTCCCCGGCAACGGTTTTTCACCCCGAGTCGTTGTTTGACGGTCCCGAGGGCCATGGAGGGCCCCCCTGAGGCCGAGAATTGCGAAAAACCTTCTGTCGTGACTGCTGTCCACGACCCGAGGGGGTCTGGGTTGGGTCCACCAGATCTGGTCCGCGTGGTGCAGCGCTCGCAGCGCCACGAGCTGCCGAACGGATTCCCGGCCATCGCGGCGGCCATCGCGTCGGAGGGCCCCGCGCTGGGAGGCCGCCCCTGCGCCGGCGGCGCCTCGGCCTCCTCGCCGAGGGCGCCCCGGCGCGCCGCCCTCGCCCCGAAGTGCCCCAGCGCGAAGTCGCGGAGGCGCCGCAGCAGCGCCTCGGTGGCCTCCTCTCGGGGGGGCATCGGCGGACCGCCTCTCGCCGATCCTGGACTGGGGCTCCTCGGGGCAGAGGCTTCCGGACGCTTCCGTGGGGCTCCTACAGGGGGCTCCTCTCGCTCCGTGGCGCTGTGCAGGAGCTGCGCCCCGTCGTGAGCTGTCCGGGGGTGCCCGCAGCGAGCCGAGCGGCCGCCAGAGGCCCGAGCTGTGGCCCGAAGGCCACCAGGCGGCCCAGTCCGTCCTGGGCCCGGGGCCGGTGTGCACGCCCTCCTTTCGGCGGCGAGCGAGAGGGGGGGGGAAGTGAGAAGGAGAGGGCCTTCTCAGAAGGCGGCGGGGCTTCCCAGAAGCCCTCGCGCCTTCTGAGAGGTTTCTGCTGTCTCCAGGGAGGGCTCAGAACACTTCTCAGAAGGCCGGGGGCTTCTGAGACTTCTGAGAAGGCCCGCCCCTTTTCTCCCCTGACCTTCAAGAGTGCTAAAAATTGGCCCTCCAGACCTATAGACCGATCTGGGCTGCCCAAAACCTCGCCAGGAATTAGGATATCGAGGCCCTGGTGCTATGTTATAGCCCTCCTGGAAGGTCAGGGTCCCTTCCCCCCCTTCGCTCGCCGCCGCTCCCTGGTGGCCAGGGACGCGGACCCTGGCCCCCCGGATCGGGCCAGACCGCCTGGCGCCTCGGGGCACAGCTCGGGCCTGTCACGGCGGGGCCGGGAGAGGGCGCCTCGGCACCCCCTCGGAGAGCCCACGGCGAGGCGCGGCTGCTGGAAAAATTGCTCCCCGAGGCGAGGCCCAACGCCCAGGAGCCGACGGAGGCGTCCGACATCCTCCGCCCGAGGAGCCCGGCCAGGATCGGCGAGAGGTGGTCCGCCGGCGTCGCCGGGTCCTCGCCGCCCGCGCCCTCGCCCGCGAGGGCCTCGGGCAGCCACCGGCGGAAGCGCGCGTAGAGGGCGCCGCCCACGCCGCCGGCGGCCGGGGGGCACTGCCCTCCGCCCTGGCGCGGCTGCTGCCGCAGGAACGCGTCCAGCATCCTGCGCCGCGAGGGCCGAGCTGGGTCACGGCAGGACTTCGCGCAGCGCGCCCTCGCGATGCGCGACACGCGATGACCGTCGCGCCCTCGCGGCCCCGCGCCGCCCCCATGCGAGAAGGGCGGCCGTTCTGGCCCAGACCGCGGCGCGCGAGGCGCGGTGGACTGCGCACCCCCCTGGGTGGCCTATAGAAGCCTCATGCACAGGTGCCCGCCGGCGTTCCCCCCCCTGCGCTTTCCCGGCGGGTGGCGGTGCACAAGTCGTCTGCTCTCAGTGGTGATGTACAGTCAACCCGTATCATGAGGACGAGCGGTAAAGATGCAAGGGCATTGGAGGCCCATGTTGACGCTTTTCCGAACGAGGCTGGCCAGCGAAAGTCACTGAGGATGGGCCGAGGGGGCCAGGCTGCAACGGCACCCTTGGGGAGGTCGCCCATCCTCACTACGCGGCTTGACTGTACACGCGGCCACCCTCCCCTGAGGACCAGGAGCAGTCCACCGGGGGTTCGACTGACTACAGGGTCGGGAAGTGCTGCTCAGCGTTCCGAGGCGGCGGCCCCAGCGACACGCCGTGCCTTGCATGCGGAGTGCGCGCCGCTCCGCTCCGCAGTCCACGGACGGGGCGCTGACGCCTGAGGGCCAGGACGTGGTGAGCATGTCGCGCCGAAGCACGGCGGGCCAGAACCCCGGACATCCGACGAGGAGGTTTTCCCAGGCGTGGCCCCAGAAACCCCGACCCCTTCCCAGGAGGCTGGCTTCCTGCCCCAGGCCTGCCCTTCCCCCCCGGGCCCGATCTCTGGGGCCCGATCCCGGGCCCCAGACACCGGGACAGGGGAGAGACGCCAGGTTTGAAAAGAGGCGCGGCGGGCAGGACGAGAGTCCCGAGGCACTACAGAGACGCACAAGCGGACACAGCTGCTGCGTCGGCGGCTTGGGCAGAGGGTGACTGCGCTGGCGAGGAGTGGCCTGAACGGGGGCGCCGTTGGGCCGAGTTGCGCCACCGTGCAGGAGGAGGAGGGAGGAGGGACGCGGCCGAGGGAAAACAAGGACGGGGCGGGCGGCTCAGGGAGCAGAAACAGAAACAGTCGGGGGCCCGCGCGGGTTTCGTGGACCTCCGCTGGAACCCCCGGCGCGCGGAGCGCCGCCCGGTGGGCCACGCGCCGATCAAAAACAATCCGCGCGGGCATCCGAAAGCTTATGCTGACGTCGTACATTTCTTCATAGCACTACAGCATTATGCATGCGGCAGGTTCGTGCCGTGTCGACCTGGGCGTTGGTCCCTGACGCCGCGAGGATCGTTCAACCTTGAACGATCGGCCATTTCCGCAACGTCCGATCGTTCAACATCGACCGATTCTGGGCCTCCGCCGGCGTTCAACGTTGAACGCCGGCGTCGGGGTCGCCGCCGGTCGACACGACGCGAACCTACCGTGTTACCATACTTACTCTTGCTACTCCTCTTCTTCGAGTGACGTGACCAGCATGCCGCGCCGGAGCGCTGTGGGCCAGAACCGGCGGAGCGGCACGGGAAAGCCAGGGGTCTACTGCTACCACTGCTCCTCGGACCTCTCGGGCTGCGTTCTGGCCAAGACCTCGAGGCGACTCCAGCCGTGTCGACGAGGGCCTCCCAGGAGGCCCAAACAGGCGAAAACGGGGGAAGGGTAATCCAAAAGCCCTAATAAAAATTTGAAATTTGAAATTTCATTTTTCCCTGCAACCCCTCTAAGAGGAGTTGCAGAAAATCCTGCAACTCCTCTAAGAGGAGTTGCAGGTTTTCTGCAACCCTCTAAGAGGGGTTGCAGAATTATAGATTTAGCGAGAGAGACGGCGAAACGGGGAGAGAGAGAGAGAGAGAGAGAGAGAGACAGAGAGAGAGAGCCGTATCGGTACGCTTCCTGGTGGCTTTCGGCCTATAACTCGGGCCTCTGGCGGCGGCTCGGGGCGCTCCGGGCATCCCTGGAAAGCCGTCGACGAGACGCAGCTGCTGGCAAGCACCCCGAGGCTGGAAGACCGCCCGGCACCGACGGAAGCGTCCGAAATCGACCGAACCCGATGAAAACGTCCGGGTCGCGGTATCGGTACGTAGCTTTAGGTCGGGCGTGTCCCGCCAAAGCCGGATTTTGGACGAAACATACAAGATACCCCCAAAAAAGTGTCCAAAAGATTCAACGAGATACAAAAATCGTCCCCAGACTATTTCGTAACTAGTTTTGAATGTTCCTTCTGCAGGGGGACGTGCCCGACTCAAACGTGCCTGGCGTCCCCAGGCTATTTCTTAACTGTGTTTCAATATTCCTGCTACAGAGGGACGGGCCCGACTCACACGTGCCTGGCCCTCCTCTGACGGCACGCTGAGCAGGAGTTCCCGACCGTACTCCTGGAGGCCTGGAGATGGGCACCAACACCAACACGGGGGGGGGGCCTCCACAGGGGGAAGAGGATACTAGAGTTCGGTGCTGGTGGCAATACTTCGGCCACCCTGGAGGCCAGAATTTGACCACCATCACCGAGATCGGGATTTTTCTTCCCTCGGTGGAGGCACACCGCCGATCTTGGTGTTGGTGTCGACCTCTAGGCCTGCGATACGTTTGTTGCGTGGCAGGCGTCCCCTCGAGGGGCGATGCCAGGCCGCCGCCGCCCCGCGCGTCCGCCAGCGCGGCCGCGGCCTGCTCCAGCGGCAGCCAGCAGCTCTTGTAGGCCTCGACGGCCCGCTCCTTCCGAGGCGGGAATTTGCACAGGACCACCGCCTGGAGGATCAATTCTCGGGGACCTCGGCAGGCGGTGGATATGGACAAATTCGGGCCCCCGGGGGCCAAAACAGATCCACATCCGCCGCCCGCTGAGGCACCAGGACGTCGGTTTCCCAGGCGGTGGGTCTGGATGAATCCCCGCCTCGCACTCCTCGCGCCGGAAGGAGCCGAGCAGCAAGTTGCGGACGAAGTCCGCGGCGCCCACGGTCGCAGAAAGAAAAAGCGGCAACGAGCGCGTAAACTCTCCGAGGTCCGCGCGGAGGTCCGGGGTCGGCGGCACGCAAGGAGTGACCCTGGGTTACAAGAGTGGCCTCTGGTGCGCGGCCTTTGGGGGGGGCGCGCCAAACACAAGCGCGCAAGACCCTCCTCCTCCTCCTCCTCCCTCCTCCTCCTCCTCCTCCTCCTCCTCCTCCTCCTCCTCCTCCTCCTCTCCTCTCCTCCTCCTCCCTCCTCCTCCTCCTCCTCCTCCTCCCTCCTCCTCCTCCCTCCACCTCCTCCTCACTCGGCGCCAGGTGGCGGCGCCTCTGGCGACGCCCCGCTCCGCTCGCCGAGGAGGGGGGGATTCAGCGCCGATCCAAGAAATCCGCGCGGAGGTCCGAAAACATGTGCTGCTGCCGCTGTTCCTCCTGCGAATGTTGGCGTACTCGGTCTCCCTGTGGGGCTTGCAAAAGGTGGCGTCCCGCAGAGCGAGCCTCTCGAAGATGAGGTGCAGGTCCTGCAGGGAGAGTGAAGCGGCACGGACAAAATTGCCACCAGAGGCGCCGCCAGGGAGGCTCAGTACCGATCCAACCAAAATCGCGCGGGTTTGTTCTTCGAGGTCCTCCGTGCCGTCCCCGTGGTCGCCGCTCATGTCTCGGGGAGACGCAGGACTCGGGCTCGGGGGTTCGGATTGGCCTGACAGGGCCGTCAGGAAAATGACGAGACCCAGTCTAAAGCTTGACGCGAGCTCCCACTGGACCGTCCAGATCCAGGACGGGCTCGTCAAAAAGCACCAGCAACCCGAGTTCCTGCGAGCTCGAGTCTTACATGTCCCCGAATGTCGATGGGGAACAGCAACCACTCGAGCTTATGCAGCACCGCGTCGGCCAGGGACCGCAGCTGCTCGTCACCGTCGCCCTGGAGCTGCTCGAGGAAGAAGCGCTTCGCCTCCGCGGGGCGCCGCCAGGACCCGCTGCCCGCGTCCGCCGACGCGCCTTCGGCATGACGACGAGACGACGACGAGGAGGCCAAAACAAGACGCTGCAGTGCGCGCAGGGGCGCGGCCCTCTTCAGAGCGCGACGGGGGGCCCGTTGCCCCTCAAATGTGGATGAAGAAGGAGTTCTGGAATGAGGCCTTGCCTCAGAAAACTTGTCCGCCTGGTCGAACGTGGGAAACCTCCTCCAGACACGGAACGCCTTCGGCATGAGCGAAACCCAGACCCCCTCGCATGTTTATTAGTGTGCTGTTGTTGCTCATTTGCTTACTTATTTTCAAGGAGAGACCCCCCCAAAAAAAACGACTGACAATTTGTCATATTTCGGGCTCTGGAAGCCCTCGCGGGGCCCCAGAACCGTGAGAGAACGGCTTGCGATGAAAGACGCGCCCAGGCAAAAGGGTCGAAGCTCATTGGGACCCCTCGCGTCATGAAAAGAACAACGGAAGGCATTTTGACATCTTCGGCCTCTGAGGGCACTCGCCGGGCCCCAGGACGGTCCGAAAACGAATCGAGGCAAAACGCCGGCCCTGGGGAAAGGGTCGGGACCTCACGGGAACCGCGTATGTTGAAAAGCCAGGGCGAACGGCTGCGCACATAATTAGCCCCGTGGCCCTACTCTGGAACCCTGTAGACGCCGCCACGCTGGTCCCAGGCAGGCTGTGCTGCCTGGCGGAAGGGGAAGAGGAGGGGAGAAGCAGGCAGAGGACGACGAACGAACGCGCGTCCGTGACTCGACGACTCGGGGATGGACATACCCCCCCTTAGCAAAACGTGGTTTAGTGAAAACGACCTCGGGCCCAAACCTGGCGGGCGCAAGCCTGGAAAATGACGGCCACGGCGCCCTCTCGAGAACCGAAAACGGACAAGTCACTAATCGACTTGTCAGGGTGGGAGTTCTGTCCGCCCCTGAACGATCTTGAAAAAGTCCCGGCGTCGCGTGTCCGGAAGGACGGGCCCCGACGCCCCGCCTGGGCCCCGTGGGGGCCTGCCTCCCGTCGCGGACGCCCTCTCGCGCCGCGTGAAGAACGGCCCCCCAGACAGCTCTGGCGGCGCGCAC